GTCCGCTTTCCGCCGAGATGTTCGGTTCGGAGCCACTCTCCTTTACTTAATGAATGTTTCCCTTCTGGATGGAACGCGTCTGTTAAGTTACCGCGGTAACAGAGGCGGCGGTGGATCCTCCCCCAGCCCCTGCCGCTCGTCCTCCTCCCCCTCCCTCTCCCCCTCCGTATCCCCTCCCTCCCGCGTCCGCGTCCCGCTCCTCGGAACTCCCACCTGAAGAGCGAGCTGCCCGTTGTCAAACAATAAATCCCGAGGAATTTATTATGGATATACGGTATAAATCATCACTTTATACAGGGTGTCCCGAGTTGAACACGAAAAAAAGTCACGGGCGAAAGCAATACGCGTGGAAAAATATCGGAGGGACGTCCTTCCCCGTCTGGAATGCTCCTCGTTCCGATGGAATTCTGACCGTCATATTTGTATCAAAGGTAATAACTTCGGTCCGTGTAATTCTTCGTCGACGTTTCAATTGATCCTCGCGGAATTTTCATGCTCTTGTTCTACTTGCGTACCGCGAGTTAACAGCAAAGCCGGGCGTTCATCGGTTTTGTCCCGAAGCTTTCAGTTTTATTTGGATTTAATTCCACGGAGATGAAACAGCATAATTATCGCAGTTATGCAATATACTTAATTTTCATACAAATAATCGAGCACTGGAAAAAAAACACATCGGATCTAGAGTCCAGACTCTTAAAAACATCGACAAGAAAAAGTACTCTTGATTCAGTCAGAATCTAGCTTAAATCAAGAACCAAGCCTCTTTATTTAAGCGGATTTCGTTTTGATTCAAGCAAAAATCTGATTGAATCAAGAGTATTTTTTCTTGTCAATGTTTTCAAGAGTCTGGGCTCTAGATCCAATGTGTTTTTTTTCCAGTGAGAATTCGGAAATTCTATGACTTCTAGGTATTCTTCAGTCTGCACTATTATCCACGGTTACTGTAACGCCTAATCACCTTCATCCATTTTGAGGGTTGTTTGAAAGCAAAATTCCTAAGTAAAGGGAAACTTGAGATGAACAACTTACTTGATTTTTGCCAGCATCTTGCTTAGGATTTTATGCGAGAACTTCCTTTCAATACATCTTCATTGATTCGCAATCAAAGCATTTTTTTTTTTTGAAAATTGACAATGTCGCGATGAAATTCAGTAATAGTTTACTACTAATAGTACACAATACGCAATGATGAGAAAAATGAGGTGTAAAAGAAACAAGCACAGCGCCCTCAGTTAGTATCGCATGCGACGCACACTCGCTGAACGAATTTCATTATAACGCCTGGATACAACTATTCGAACTCTACGGATGTCCGGGTTGCATACGCACGGAGTTGAAGGCGTTTCAACTTCGTTGCTCTCGACACTAACCAAGGACGCTTTGTTTGTCTAATTACCTTCGTTAATTTTATGCATGGAGCAGATAAAAAGCATATAGCTCTTGTCGTCGTAACGAATGCAATAATGTTCAGTATATTACCACAAAAATGTTTATTTCCACAAAATACGTCCTTGAGCCCACATCGATTACGCATAAAATATAGATACATGCAAAACGAGTGCGTGCGCGTGTTAGTATGTAATTTAATAATCACGTGATTATTTTTTCAGGATATTTTTTTAACGGTGAGTATACGTGTGTGTTTCTGTGTGTACATATTAGCGTCTTCACAATAAGTATCCGTGTGTTTATCGGATCACCTGTCTTCGGCTGTGAGCTCTATTTGGCGTTCGACCCCTCCGCGGTCGGGTCGGGTCCTTCCCCTCGAGCCCCCTCCCCCCTAGCCCCGCGCCCGCCCTCAGCCCCTGTCCTCCTGTCGATTCTCCCCCTTTCGAATACGTCTTCGGTGATCAGAGTGGTGCTTACCCCCGATGCCCCCTCGCCTCTCATCGCCGTCCTTCTCACATCACTGCCGCACAGTGCCAGATCCGTCCTCGGCTCCACGATTTTATTATCTCGCCTTTCGTACGAGCAGAACAGGGATTTTTTCGCTATTTATCGAGCCCCTTCCTAATCTTTTACTCCTTTAGTTTCTTATGGAGCTTTTCCAATCAGATCGATCTGGAGTATTAAATTCCTGTCCATCGATGGAAAATGGAGTCCTGGAGGTTAAATGAGGCTACCAGTTCCGAAGTGTTCAATGTTCATTTTGGTCGAGATTGAGTTAGGAATGGATTCTGGATCAGCCGATAATAATCGGAAATAATTTAATTGTGTGCCAAAACAGCCGAAATCCTCTTTATTTAGCAGTATTAAAAAGATAGGTCGCTGCAAAACGGAACAACTCGAAACATTTTTTTGCGTTTTTGTGGCAAGCCATTTTTATGGACATAGTACACTTTGGAACTAGTAGCTGCAAATCTGAAGAGCTATTCGTAGGAAATCAGGTCAAAAAACAATAATTTGAGTCTTTTGTGATTAATATCCTCCAGTATTCCAAAAAATAGTCGGGGATCGATTTGCTCTAATGTTGACAAGAAACGGAACTATCACGTCTGAACTTGCCATTCCGACATTATTCGTTTTGAGAACCACAACTTAAAGTTAAATAGCACTGTCATACCTCGTTATTACGTAATTGAATGTAGAACGTTGTTTCCGCTTTTGTCAAGAAACTTATTGCCAGAGTTTGAAAAAATCAACGCTCTGTCCGGAAAAAAGGGTATTCGAGTAGCTTTATAACGAGGTATGACTGTCGTTTACATTTTGTATGTATTCATCTTTTGGCACTTTTTTTTCACAGTATCGTAAAACTATCTCACAGTATCGTAAAACTATCCATCGTACGAAGGCTAGCAGCCAAAAGGTATTCATATTTCTGACGTATCGATGACCTAAAGAAAAAAATAAACATCCCCCTAGGAACGTTTCAATATCTGCCGTTATATTTTCTTATTTTATAAGAGAACCAACCGAACGTCTCCCTATAATTTTCTACGTATATTTTTAAATAAGTGAAGATAATTTGCAGACAATTCCTAGGAAAATTTATGATTGGTTTTCTTTTAGCAATAAAATCAAAACATGATCAGCGTTTTGCAACGCTGCAGAGGGGAAAGTACATTTTTCGACTCCGCCATCAAAGTCTCGCAACAGCGCCAGCACCCTTCCGATTGAAATAATAGACCATCAAATAAACTGCCTCTCGAGTTTTATGCACCGGTTCTGTCTTCATTTTATTTTACGAGCCACAATTTTGAGGTTAGATCGGCAGAATCAACAGCCTATACCGGAGTCATCTGTATCGATGTTTTTCTCGAAATCTGTGCTGCACATCTGAGGATAGTAATGCTTGCGGTTCCTCAAGTCTAAGATCGATAAAGTCGAATCGACTCAACTCTTGACACGCCGATCTTTCGCTAGGATCGGTTCGTCTCGCAAGGAACTGATCAAATGACTCGGTTTCCAGGCACCCCGATTCTTGGTTTTTAATCAGCTTAGGCTCAGAATTTGTTAGAAAGAAATCTGCTAATCATTGCTAACGCATTTATGTAAAATCGATGACCTTTTTTCTCTAAAGAGATCTGATTTTTCCCCAGCTTCCAAGAGTCAGTTCGGCAACCTTGGAATAGAGTTACGTATTTCGACTGCACTGGAAGAAAAAACACAGTCCAGACTCTTGAAAACATTGACAAGAAAAAATACTCTTGATTCAATCAGATTTTTGCTTTAGGTAATCAAAAGGAAATCCGCTCAAATTAAGAGGCTTGGTTCTTGATTTAAGCAAAAATCCGATTGAATCGAGAGTATTTTTTCTTGTCGATGTTTTTAAGAGTCTGGACTCTAGATCCAATGTGTTTTTTTTTCCAGTATGGGAAAAGTCGACTTTAGGCAATCTCCGTCGGCTGATTTTGTTTCCGATCAGCAGCAAAGCTCCGATTCGTTGTATGGATCTTTCAGTAGGTCGATTCTTCGGACCCGATCGTTCTATACAATCGATTCTCAGCCCAAGAATCGCCTTCACCGGAGTATGGCGTAGATAGCCGGTCGCAGCAAGAGTCACGGTATCCGACCACGGCGGGTCCAGTAAAAACGGGCGGTGCTATTAGCGGAACAGTGATCGCTCGTTGCGCCTCGACCCCCCCCCCAACNCCCCCCAACGTTCCCGCGGGGGGCGGGGGGTGCCTCGGCCGCGCGTCACGACGACGGACGATGGACGCGAATTGCGTCACCGGTTTGCCAGCTCGCTCCCGCGGATCGGATGAGCCCGGAGCCGGTTCCGTTAGCGGACGCGTACGCTACGGTTGCTACGGTTACGGACTACGGTGCCCGGCTGGAAACGCAGCGCCCGGTACCGGTTCGCTCAGCGCTGCGCCACCGTGCGAGCGCTTTCCCGAAACTTGGAGGAAAGCTCGGCGCACGATTTGGGGCAAGGCCGGTTTGAGGGAATCGTCGTCCGCGAATTCGATTTTTCCGGATAAAGGGCGTTACCTCCACAGTTGAAAGAGTATCCAACAGTGCTCATGGCAAATTCCAGGTCACTACGTACTCTTCTTATCGGCGTTACAATGTTACGTCTATGTCAATAATTAGTTTGGCCTCGGTATGAAGGCAGCATTGATATCGGAGCCGACATTTTCGTCACTGCGAATGTAATGTTGAAAGCAAGATTATTTTTTCTCCGTGTCTGTCTTTTCTTTTCGTGATGATGCTGTGTGAACAGGACTGCACTTGGCGGTAAGAAACTACTGCCGTTGTACCGTGCCAAGAAAAAACGCTGTATGAAATAAACTACGAATGAGACCTATTAGAATGTGGTTGCAAAAAGGCGTGGACGCTGTTTTACATCGTGCAAAATTTAACTCTTATTCGACTCAACTTTGTTTGTCGTGGCGTAAAAATGTGGATTGCTCCGCTAGGCGACACCATCTGAATTTTCTCTACGATTTATTTTACTTTTGCACTTCCTTTCTATTAGACTCTTTCCTTTATGTCCCCTCATGTTCTCTCAATAATGATTCATTACAGTCAACTAACGGTGCCATATCGCTCTGTTTCAGGTGCCGACCCGGGGAATCAAAACTTGGTCTCAGACAGTGGCATGAAATCAGAGAACCTCAGCAGCCTAGACGATTTACTGGAACCACTCCACGGGTGCAAGGCCCCAAAGGATGAGGACTTCTTCGTGCCGACGTGCACGATGAACCGGCCAACGATGCTGAGCGCCAAGTACCTCGAGAAGGAGGAACGACGCAAGGTGCTCAAGATCTCCGTGAACAAGCTCAAGAAGATCGAGGACCCGGAGTCCTCGCTGCGCCGATCGGTGCTCATCAACAACACGATGAAGCGACTCCAGCGCGAAACCCGCGAGGAGAAGCAACGGACGGCCGCCCACAAGCGCGCCACCTACCTCACCCCTCGCACCACGACCGTCGACGCCACGCAGCTGAGCGACATCACCAACCTCCCGAGTTCGGCGCTGCCGACGACGACCACGCTCCCTGGCGGGCGGACCGAGAGGCTCGAGGCCCCCGCCCCCNCCGCCTCGCGCTGCGCCGCCGGCCGGAAGCGCTCCCTGGACGACATCGACGACTGCGACGTCACCGACGTCCTCAGCCAGTTCTACATGCCGCCGACGCCGCGGCTCCTCACCTCCATCAGCGACGACGAGGACGAAGAACTCAACGTCGTCGACATCGACTGTCCGTGTCCCTCGCCGAAGAAGCCCCGGCTCGACTCGACCGAGTTCCTCAGCGACCTGTCCGATAGCAGTAGTTTTAGGAGTAGTTTAGGAAGTAGTTTAAGGAGTAGTGACCTAAGGGACTTCCCCATGTCCGACCCCGATCTCCTCCTGGAGCCCTCGCTCCAGTGCCAGTCACAATCCTCCTACTCGTGTGGCCACTCGTCAGTCTTCAGCGACATCCAGTCTGTCGTCTTCCACAGTTTGATCGCCTCGCTCGAGACGTAGCAGTCCTTCAGTGTCAATTTCTCCTGCTTCTAGGCTGGCTCCTTGATTCAGGCCTACCAAAGTGGCGCTCCTTGCGTGCTCGCGACTCGCGGCTCGGGAAACAGAGAGGTTGCTCTTGAGACAGTTGGTGCGAGGGGCAATCCGATTCCATCAAATCCCTCGTCCCCAAGCTGTATGGAATAGAACTAGATAACCTGAATTTCTTGTGTGAAGAAAAGACTGACGTGGTGGCCAGTTTTGGTTAAAGTTGGACATTTCGGCAGACAAGGCCGCAACCTGTAAAAGAGGCGGCAAGATATACCGTAGTCTCTACCAACTACCTATTGTATTCAAACTTTGACAATTAATATACCTTTCTCTGTGTAACATAATTTTGACCAATTTCTTCTGTCCTTGATACTTCTTTTTCTGATAACGTTAATTAGTATGAATTACAAACCGGCCGTCAGCTCCCTTTTCATCCACGATTTTTTAGGACATAACCTCGGATCGAGTACACTGTTTCTCGTGGTGCAATTAAAAGTATTTATAACAAACAATAATGTATCCCCAGATTTTAGTGGAAATCACTGTTATTACAATTCTATGGTCTTATTTTGTATTGTTTGCTTTAACATATTGACGAAGAGTAAGATATTATGCCCGTTCAAAGCACGGCAGAAGATGAGAAAAGGGAATTTTTGGATTGTATTTTATGTCATTTAATGTAACTGAAAGTTAATCGAAAAGTTTATCAGCCAACTTGATTTCTTCCTGATAAGGGGGCGTTTGAGTACTAAATGAACCGAACTCTTTCCCGATTATTTTATCTTTTATTTTGTTTATTTCATCTTGGTTCATCGCTTCCTTAAAGATTCAACCAACAAACCTTTTTACTTCTATCAGAGATTTTTTTTTTTTTAAATTTAGATATTTTCGTAATAAATCGTCTCCTTTCAGAATGCACCATAACGTAAATTTAGACCCCCTCCCTTCCAAGTGTATCATATATTACTTAAACGCCCCTTTAAACGTATTGTCAGTCCATTCTGGCCTTCCCACGTTTGCTTTACTTACGATCACTACGAATCTGCTAATGTTCCTAGTAGTAGTTTTTCTCTGGCTAACCCGAGCCCGTAACCGTTAAGAAGTGTGGGGAAAAATTACTGTGATATTTATGTGAAACTACGTAAAATTCTGGCGCGATTCGGAAACGTAAGTTCGAATCAAGCGAAGTTGGTCGTTCTCGTAAAACCCATCCAAGCGTAGTGTTGCCTTCCTTCCAACTGAAAAAAATAACAAGTGAGATTAACAAATTTCCTTGTAGCTATTGTCACCGAGAAATCCTGGAAATGTCAGCCTCTTTTCGCTGTTTTTATTTAGTCTCCGATGCTGATCTTTCTACCGGTCATTTGCCGCGTAATTTATATAATTTTTTTAAAAAAAGCTGGTAAAATAATATGTATCACTGTAAACTTAGTGAAACGGGTTTAAAATGATCGAGAATACCCATTTGATAATCAATAACTCCAATGGAAGTTAGGAATCTCTCCGAGTTTTTTTTCTAACCCTAAGCTCGCAACACGTTCGTGCCATTTTTTGTATCCAGAATTTATTTTCGCAAGAATATGGTCAAAAATTTCCTAAATATCAAAATATTGTCACGATCAACAGAGAATGAGTGACGTCAGTATTTCTGGTACCTACCGCCAAAAACTGTGCAAGCCCTCTGTTCCGAGGTTCTCGAGTTTACTTTTCATCATTGCACAACTTATATAAGTACCATTACCACCCCTTTTACCCCTTGTCCAACCTGTATAAAGAACCTTTAGATTTTATTCTGGACTCAATGGGGAATGTTAAACCCTTTTGTTTTCCTCCGACAAACTTATTTTTAATGTGCTTGAATGTTCGTGCTAGAATCCACCAGTAGTGCATTTTTATATTTTTTAAAATCTTTTCCACTGCTTCAAAAACTTGTAGGCAATTACGTGTACTTAATTTTAAAACAGGTAATAGTTTTTCTATTTTTTTTCTCCATATATTCCCAAAATCAAATCATATCCGTGTGGTTGTTATTGCAATAATGGACGAGTGAAATATCGCGAGACGTAGGTCGAATAAGTTTTGTATTTTTTTAATTTCAGTAAATTTATTTGTTCGTACAGTCGCTGTTGTTGAAAAATAGGTCCTCCAAAGAAATGAAAGTTCGGTTGAATTCTACAGCTAAGCCTAAGAATGTACCAGTTATTTCGTTAAACTTGACTAATTAATAAAAAGCGAAACGTCAACACTTGAAGCATTTGTTTCTTGGTGCAACTATTTTAGGGTGAACAATATCGGAGATTCTCTTTCGCTGAATCGAATTTCACTTGAGGATCGATCGTCAGTTTTTCAGCTGGCTTTCCCGGTTGGGTACATGTTCGCTTGGGAACGTATTTTTTTTTAGCTGATTATTGTTTTTCTCAACGCTCCCCTCTTTTTCAAGCAAGTTTCAATGCCTTTTTATTTTCTATTTTTTTATTGTCTGCCCTATGATTGTTTTTTTCCCATTCATTTTTCTGTCCTTTATGTATACTAAAAGAAAGTGATTAAACAACATGAATGGAATATCACTAAGAAGAAGAGTTAGATTTAATGTTCGAATGTTAATTCACGCAAAGAGCAACCTAAATTGTATGATGTCATGAATATTCATGACAGGAATTTAACACAAATGCAGTTAGATCAAAACTGAAGGATGCATGTTCGACTCCAAAAACCTTCATTTCAGAGGTACAGTTACCCAAAACTCCAGAAGATTTCACACGTGGCAAAGTTCTTGTCTGTAATAATTATGCATAGATTTGATTGTGTTTTTTTTCGCGATCCAGAATTGTAATGATTAGGAGGATTACAGTTCAAAGTATAACATGATCCACTTGTTTTTCAACAAATTACGTTTCGAATCCACATCTCTGTCAAAATGAATCAACTATCCATAGTACGAACTCAGAAACAAACATACTAAAAGGAAATACCTACAGCAGTGCTATTTTAATGATCATATAAATGTTCTTTCCGTCGACATCAATAATTTTAAGTCACTGCTCGAAGTAAAATTGCTTGTTAAAACTACGTGAGAATTAACTTTTTCCACTAAACGACAAAATATGGACGTACTCCTTTGTTATTATTTCCCTTACAGCTGTCGAACGCATGTAAAAAAATTACCTTCCATTTTTCTGTGCGTTCACTTTTCCTTATATTTGTAGTTACATTTTTCCTCCTCTATGTTACCTGCTCTCAAAATTATTCGAAACAACGGGAGCCTCAAATCTTAAATGCTGTATGGTCTTCCTGTCATTTTTACCCGTATGTGTCATTTCTTATTCCGAAAAAATTTCACGATGAAAAATGATTTTTCTTTTTCCTCGCTTTTTCGAGGAAGAAAATCTCTTTTGATTATTTTGCGCAACAATTAAAGCCAAGTTCCGTGATTTTCACGTCTGGCTGCCGATCGCATGTAAACACTCAGAATTACTGTATTAGAAATTCGTAAAAATTGTAAAATTTACTCAAAAGTTTGTATTCAACTTTTGCTTCCATTATTTTACGGCTCTTGATCAGCCAAGCTCAGATCTTTCCATGCCTGTGCATCGGGTGACGTGCTCGATCTCAGGGTCATCCGTAAAATATCACTCGCCCATTGATTTAGCTCATTTTAATAATATTCGGACTTTTCTTTTCTTCACCACCTCCTCCTCCTCCTCCTTCTTCCTCTTCTTCTTATTTATTTCAAAGTGGCCGGCCTGGTTTTCGCCAGAGATGTGCTACTAATTTGAATCCTCTGGCCCCGCACAAATTGGTGTGTGAAAATTTGATACATTTCAAAGAAAATTCCGAATTAGCAGCATTAGTTGAAAAAGTTTTGAGTATTTTACGAATCTACTTGCCTTTTTTGTGAATGATTAAGTTGCTCGTACCTCATGAGGTATTCATGCAAGAAACCCCTAAAGCACTTTTCAAAATAGCCGGTTGTTCCCTGGCACACGGAGAAAAAAAACTCGTGCGTGGGACCCGAAGTTTAGGTCATATGGATCTCTGAAGTTTTCAGATTGAGCATCTGAACACTTTAGGTCTAGCTGCCGAAGTTCGGATCATACATCTGAAACTTCAGGTGTGAGAACCGAAGTACTTCGGATGTGAGAACCGAAGTACTTCGGATGTGAGAACCGAAGTACTTCGGATGTAAGAACCGAAGTACTTCAGATGTAAGAACTGAAGTTTTAGATGTGTGATCCGAACCTCGACAGCTAGACCTAAAGTGTTCAGATGCTCAATCTGAAAACTTCAGAGATCCATATGACCTAAACTTCGGGTCCCACGCACGAGTTTTTTTTCTCCGTGCAGCAGAGAATATGTTTTTTTCACGCGCACTATCTTGAAAATACACGTTAATGAAGACGGAAACCTGTACAAATACCATGTACATTATGATTTCGTGCAGAGAATAAAATATAAAATTTGCGTGTAAACTTTGGACCCTCTTTTAGTTTCTTGAGATATGTTTTGCTAATTGAATGGTTTTACTTATATCTCATCTTTTAATAATCCACCCTCTTTGCCCTTAATGAAATCTCAGTTTAAGCTTTTTACCATCCCTGTAAGTGAGTATGTATTTCCGTCAAACCAGCTGAGCCGATTTTTTCCCTCTGCTCAATTAAACCATTTTGAAGTGTTGCTTCTAGTCGATTGGGGTTAGCAGTCTAAATTGAAATTGCCCAAGTCAATTGTTGCATGCAAGTGAAATCGAGATTTTAAACGTTCGGCACGCGCCAGTTATAAATCTAAAATCTTTTTAAGAATTTTAGATATTTTTATCCTATATGGTGCTGGAAGGAACCATCTTTCCAAAAAAAGCAATTATTTTTAAATAACTGGTATATTTTATTTTGTACGAAAAAGATTTTCTGCACGAAAAGGAAAGATTTCCCATGAAGAAAAAGCACAGTATTTCTGTCGCTAGTTTTGTGGAAGGA